ATCTTGCAAATAAAATTGGGCCAAACTATTAAATTTTAAGTTGGAAACAACGAAACTCATTTAATAGATCCAACTCACTAGATCCAATAGGTCAAACAAAACCTCTGAAATGTAAATCAAAAAACTATCGAACCTATTTAACCTAATATTTTTTCTTTGAAGAGTTTCAGTAAAAAAAAGAAACATATTATGCCACGAACTAAGAAGAAGCACATGAAGTTAATTACAAATTGGTGGTGCTGTTTCTGCAAGATATTTAACTCGTTGCATGTAATATGATAGTAATAGCTATGAAATACGATTGTTGATTTGATGATACCCACCGTACCAGATTTATTTTTTTAGGAAGATTCACAGTATATTCTTTATTTTATCTGTGAAAAAATATAGTAGATTTAATTTGATTCCAATATAGAAGATTCACAGATTTATTTTTTTAGGAAGATTCACAGTATATTCTTTATTTTAATTTGATTCACAGTATATTCACACTTGGATCTTGCCTCTTTCGTATCCGAACAAGCTTCCAATTTATAAATCTTTGACTGCACTTTTGCCCATCCCTCGCAGGCCCAATCTCCATCGATTGAAATTTCGCACTCGTGACATTCAAACTGTTCTTTCAGTTTGTATTTGGGCGAGAGCTTTCTTGATTTTGAATCATCTTTATTTTATAAAATTAATTTTACTTAAAATAAAGTAATTTGGGATAAGAACTTTTTACGTTAAAAGTGTGGATTTTATAATAAAAATTCAATATTATTTTTTTAATTTAACGTAAATATAACATTAAATACCTTGAATATAGGTACAAAAATGTTTAGAATCCCAAACGTAGTTGGGGCCATGCCAAAGCCTTATACTTAATAAAAACAAATAAATGAAATGATCTTAGATTGTTAAGTTTATGTTTGAATAAGTATTTATAAATGTACCACAATGTCCCTGAATGATATTTATTTGATAAATATATATTAATTGTGTAACAAATTATATAGAAGTCTAAGTTATTAAATCCACATAGATTTGAGTTTATAATGGTATAATATAATTTTGGTACTAAATAGATAATTTAATATAAATTTAAATTATTTAAAAATAAATATTTAAATTTAATAAAAATAAAATAAAACAGTAAATTATGACAAATTTGAATTTATAACAAGAACCATCAAAGGTTGATTTACTAATTTTACTCATGTAAAACCTCCTAATTTTTCATTCAATGTTATTGTTATATATATAGTTAATTTGACAACCCACAATTATATTTAAACTCTAATTGATGGAATCTTTGCTAGCATTGATGGGTGTGTGATGATCAATGTGGAGGAAACCTTCAATATTCCTTGGATCAAGTTCTTCAAGAGTGACACATGGTTTAGGGAAGGATGATGAAAATGGAGGTTGAAGGTTAGGTGTTTGATGAAAGGTTTGAGAGGGTACTCTTGGGTTTGACTCACTCCATGGGTGATGAAGGTCACTTCTAGGGTTTTTCTCTCAAGGGTAGAGATAGGTAGGTTAGGCTGAATTTAGCCAAGGAAGACTAATGAAAAATATAAAGGCACAAGGCACTCTCTATATTCAATATCCAAAGTATTTACAAGGAGGCTAGCCTAGGATATTTATAGAAGAGAGGATGCATTTAGGGTTACATTTGAAAGTGCATGGTCGAGTAATGCACACTAAATGCACTTCAAATGAAACCTAAATTAACCTTAGATGCTATTTGGTGGCCAAGGATGAAATCTTTGGGTTTGGTTAAGCTACATCTAGATATAAGATAAGACCATGCAGCCTAGGTACCCTCTACTTGGGCTTAAACCTTGCCAAGTCCAAAAATAAATCCAATGCCACCAAAAAAACACGTCTAAGCCTAGTTTTTCACCTTAATAAAATACCCTAGTTATAAAATAAAATCTTATAATCTAAGGCATCTCATAATACAAGGGTAAAATGGAAAATACAAGTAAAAATAAATCATATGTCCAAGGTATCCAAAATACAAGGGTAAAATAAGAAATACAAGTAAAATAAATTCTATGTCTAAGGTACCCAAAATACAAAGGTAAAATGGAAAATTTAAGACAAGGGTAAAATAGTCATAAAGTAAATCCTCTTTAAGCATATGGAGCATGTCTCTAGGGGTGTTTAGCTCCCTATCCTCTTTCATTCTCTAGCCATAAACCTAGTAATGGGTCCTACATGAAGCTCCAAGGATGGTCCTCCATCACTAATTTTTTAGGTGAGAAATTCTAAGTTGTTTAAGAAAAATTTCATCCCTTGGTACTTTCTATTAAACAATCCTACATTAAGGTTAAGGATCAAAAGTTAGCTGATAAGATTTATTCCAATTTGTTGGTAATAAACATTATCAATGTTTTATCTATGTTATAATTTTAAAAAGGTTTTCCAACCTCAATTAAAAATTATAAAATCATGAAGAGCTTGATTGGATCACAATAAGCATTAAGTACAAAAGTAAAATGATTAACTAAATGAATATTTTATTGAAGGAAAAACGCAAAAAAAAATGACATAGTTCAAGTAACTACCTCAATGTCCAATAATACAAACTTAGTCACTCATGATTAAGGATTAGACAATAAAAGAGAGACCTTTGAATGATCTATGGTTACAAGAGTAATCTCACAAGAACTTTTTTTAATCTCTCTATAATTATGCTAAGAGAAATATTGAATGATAGGAATGAAATATAAAACCTCCTAGATACCTTATTTTTATAACAATTTTGATGGGCTTTTAGGTCTGATAGACTTGTTTAGAGCGCTCGTATAACTTGCTCTGAGTGAGTATGTGCGTGCTTTCAAGAGTGTTCTTTAACTTCACTCACTCAAAGCTCTCTTATGGTAATTTTGAGTGAATTTTGCTCGCTTAGAACTCCTAAGTAGCTTGCTCTAAGCGAGCTTGTGTATGCTTTTAAGGGTATTCTTTGACAACACTTGCTCAAAGTGCTTTTACGGTAATTCTAAGTGAATTTTGCTTGCTTATAATGTCTGAGTAGCTCACTCTGAGTGAGCTGATATAGTCTTTCAGGATTGCTCTCTAACTTGACTTGACTTGCTTAAAATGAGCAAACTATTGGTCACTCTGAGCACTACAAAAAAAATATTAAATAGCGACCGAATTTAGCGACCGAAAATTTTCAGTCGCTATTTTGCGACCGAATTAGCGACGGATTAGAGTGGTAGCGAGAAAATCAGTCGCTAAATCAGTCGCTGTTTAATTGTGTTTTATGAAAACATGGTTTGCGACGGAATTAGACCAATTTTAAATAAATTATCATAAAAATTGCGACCGATTTTAATTCGGTCGCTAATCCTAAACTTTTGAATATTTTAGCGACCGAATTCTTTTTTTTTTATTTTTATTATTGAAATGTCAATTGTTGTGGCAATTTTTATTAAAATGCCAAGGCCAGGTTTTGATCCATGGATGTGGAGGTTATGGGCCAAGCATGGTACCGCTGTGCCACTTTAATTTCTTATTAGAATATTAAAAGTAATATATATAATACAGTACCTTTTCTAAACTTTGAAAAATCTTCCGCATAATATTAGATATCTTTTAATTTAATATTAAATATCTTTTGATTATAAAATATAATAAATCAAATCTAAAATATGTAATAATTTATTTGATACAAATACTTAATATGAAAATATTTATTATAATTTTAGTTATGATTTTTATAATCTTTTGATTTAATATTGAATTTCTTTTGATTATAATATTTTAATATATTTTATTTAAAATATCAGTTAAAATATTTTATTACCTTTTCATTTTAATTTATTGTAAAAGAATAAGAATATTTAATTTAGCAGTAATAAAAAATAACTATTATAAGATTTAATTTGTTTAATTTTATTATTTATTATAATATTTTTAGTCGCTATATTGATAAAAAAAATATTTTTAATTAAAATATATTTTAAAATTTTAATTAATTTATTTCATTCACTCTCTTTATTAAAAAGTGATAAAATATAATTTATATTCAATTAATTTA